TCTCGCTCAGCACGCGTCTCGTGTGGATCAGTGATCCCCCTTCCCTCGGTGTGAGGGAAGACTTATTTGGCTAGTGCATTTAAGTAATGTGATTTTCCTTAACCAATAAACTTGGCAGTACACATCATTTCTACAGGATTTTGCTAAATTACACCCTTCCATTTAAGGACATTTCCAGATGTGAAGTAGTTAGTTTTGGACGGTGTCATTTATAACTGTGAAGCCAGTAAATTCATTCTAATGTTGATAAGTAAAACCCCACTTTTCTTTGAACTAGCATCTCCAGTTTAGTGAAGACCAGCCTGACACATAAATGAGATCCTGGTTGTCTAAGGAGTGTTCTAGGTTCTGTCGTCAAGCTGATCTGTATCAGTAAGATCGTCATCCTTACAAGAGAGCAGGCAGAAGGAACAAAACTTGGGGACTGACTTGCCAGCATCTGAATAATTTCTTCAGGATTCCTGTGATTTTATCTTTTTACACAAAAGACTGGACTTTTAACAGTAGTTAATTATGTAATCTGAAGTTTTAGACTTTGGAATCATGTAGGAATATGACTTCCCTGGTGGCTCAGCTGGTAAAGAATCCGCCTGCAATGCGGGAGACCTGGGTTCCACCCCTGGGTTGGGAAGGTTCCCTGGAGGAGGGAAAGGCTCCCCACTCCAGTGTTGTGGCCTGGAGAATTCCATGAACTGTGTAGTTCCTGGGGTCCCAAAAAGTCAGACATGACTGAGCGACTTAAACTTTCACACAGGAATACGACTGGAGTTTAGGTTCCATTAAGGCAGTAGGGAAAGAATTTACTAAACATCAACCATGTACTGTGTTCTGTTGGGCCTTTCCGTTTATATCGTAAACTGGCACTGCAGCCCACGGAAAGGTGATTGCTGTTCCTTTCATGCACCAGGAAAAAACCCGAACCTCCCGAGTTGAAGAAGCTCACACGAGGTTAGAGACTCCCTCTGGGCTTGGCCCGTCTGACTGCAGCTCCCACATCCTTTCCCCTGTGCCAGGGTCGAGGCGGAAGCCATCACACCAAGAATTGGGGCAGCTTACAAATGCTGGGTTTTCTAGACGCTGCCAACCAGCAAGTTCAGAAGTCCTCACGGGTATTTGTTTCAAAATCATGCTTAAAAACACTTCCTTCAGGGTAGACGTTCATCTTCAGGGATCGACAGGCTCCTCTTCGTGTTAAGAGTTGAGGGTGAAGATGCCCGTGCTCACTGCCCAGGGCGGGGAGCAGGGAGACGGGCGAGTGTCCCGTCTCCCGGTGCAGATGGGGGTTCCCAGGAAAATGGAGCATCAGCTAGAGTCACATAAAGGACGAGCCTCCCGGTTCATAGGTCCCAGCAAAAGACGACCAGGCCCTCTCTGCTGTCCGTTCTGGTACCCGTGATGACGGCTGGTCACCTCATGGGGTGCCCGCCCCTCCTCTGCCCTGCTGTCCCCGGCTTCTAGTTCACAGTTGCGTGGAAACCTAACGGGGGTTTGAAGAAGACAAGGCAGCGTGGGCCGGTGTTCCCTGGCCGTCTTCCAGAGGGGACTGGTCAGACGCCGTCCTAAGGATAGGCCACTTGGCAGTGCCGCGAGGTGGTTCGGAGGGGTGGGGTCGCTGCGGTGGGCCAGCTGGGGGTCGGGACAGAGCCAGCGGTGACTGCGAGACGGCAGCTTGCCTAGAGTCCCAGCGTTTCCCGTTTCCTAGACGGACGCGGGCCTGTGTCCATACAATGTTCAGTGGGTTTTTTCTCTTTCAAAGTAGTTAAATAGGACCCCTTCGGTCTGCTTGGGCACAAATCCCATCGCCCTCTTGGTTGGGGGCCCTGGCTCCGGCTTGGGGAGCCTGTCCCGTCCCTCCAGGGTTGTGCTGAGGCCCCCCCGGCAAGTGACCGGGTGCAGCCGCGTCGCGGGGACACGAGGCCGAGCAGCGGCGGGGCTCCGGGGCTTCGGGGTGGGCTGACGGCTCAGGTCTGGGGGGAAAGTTCAACAGTATGTTTTAATGGGGGCGGGACCTCCTTCCGGTGGACGCCTCGGGCGGCCCGCTCTGGGTTTAATCGTGAAGGGCCCCCCGGGAGCTCTGGGGTCGCCCCGCGTCGGCCCGCACCCGTGTGCCCTGCTGAGCACGAGCGCGCTGAGTACCCTCGCCGCCCCAAACGCTTCTGAAACCCCCTCAGGACGTCCTGCGGCCCGGGGCGCCCGCCGCAGCCCGTGTGTCGGGACGGGCGCTCCGGTCTGAGGGCCCCTTCCAGACAGTGTGAGCGGCAGCAGGGCGCCTGGCTCCGGCGGGCGTCTCAGGCCCGCCTCGCGCCCCCGCACGCGCTCCCTGACCTCCCTCCGGCCCTGGCGCTCCTGTGGCCGGGAGTCAGGGTGCCCGGGACGCCGGCTGCGACCCCGGGGGACACGCTGCCAGCGCCCGCGGTCCTCGGTGCCCAGAGGGCGGGCCCGCGCCCCTCGCCGCCCAGCGGGCTCGGAGCCCTGAGCGCCGCGCCCTGCTCTCGATGGAGACACCGCGTGGCTGGGCTCCCGCTGCTGTGATTTGAGCGCGCCCCTCCCCGGCACTGGCTGCGTCCCCGCGCTCGCGACCTGACGAGGCCTAGGCCTGCAGTCCCTCCGCCCTGGGGAGCGCCGCGGCGGGAGGCGGCCCGGCCGGCGGGGTGGGGCGCTCTTGGGACAGGTGCCCAGGAGAGCCGGGTGAGCTGTGGTCGGGCCGGCGGCCTGTAGGGTGGGTGTAGCTGTGGAGCCCAGGCGGGCGATCGCCGTCTCCCCGGGTGTGGCCCTGTCCCCGGCGTCTGCCCCCCAGGACGCCCAGGGCGCCTCAGCTCAGTGCTCTCCTGAGAAGTCCCCTTCTTCGCTGGGCCGTCAGCTCGGCTTCCGCCCCAGAGACCTCTCCTGGGGTCTCATTGTGCGGGTCCGCGCCCTGGCCCTCAGGTCCCCTACGCTTCTAACCGCCTGTGACTCACCTTCGCGGAAATGTTTTGTCCTCACCCCATATCCCTCCATCAGTCTCCCGACCTGACTTCTTGTCCCTTTTCAGTAACATGACTCCTGTTTATCGTCAGCTCTCAGGCCCGAGGTCCGTGATTTGCCTTTAAGTGCCTAACACAGTCTTACTAATTCTGCCTCTGCTGTGAATTAAACTGGGCTTGCCTGGTGGCGCCGGGTAACGAATCCCCCTGCCAGTGCAGGAGACATAAGACAGCAGTTCCATCCCTGGGTCGGGAAGATCCCCTGGTGGAAGGCATGGCAACCCTCTCCATCTGGAGAATCCCAGGGACAGAGGAGCCTGGTGGGCTACAGTCCATGGGGTCACAAGAGTTGGACACTACTCAGCACACATGAATTAATCTCAGTTCTCTCCATTTCAAAATCGTAAGGATTTAAGGGCTTTTACAAGAAATCTGAATCTACTCAGTACAGGCGGAATGTCTGGTTCAGAATGCTCCTTTTTCCGTTTCCTACTTCGGTGCAGGAGGACTTGGGTGTTCGCTGTTTTAATTCCAGCAGCCCTGGACGTTAGTCAAGCTGTTTATGACAGTGTTCTTCTGCAGTGTGCATTTCATCGGTGACTGTGTCCGAGAATGTTACCCGACCACCTTTCAGAACTGACTAGTTCATGAAATGTTTGAGTTAGTTCCTGCTCCTTGAGCATCTGGAAATCAAAGTTTTCCTAGCTTGATAAACCCAAGAACACCATTTTTCCTTGGTTATTTCCCTTAGTCCAGTCTCCCCCTGCACTGGTCTTATAGGCTGTCAAAACACATCCTTTTATTATTGCATATCCCTAATTCAAGCTGATTTTGAAAGGATTTTCACGCAAAACAAAATGATTGATAAAGTGCCAGTGAGTTTTACTGCTGGGTCTTCAGGATCTTTGAGAAACACAAAGTGCATCTAAAATATTGAGCAAAAGGAAAACTAGGATCTTGATCTTCACTTCCCTCTGGAATTTGTAAAAAGCTTCACATATTTTCAACTTATAAAACTTAGACATTTCAAGTTACAAAGCCTTACTTGAGATTGAAGATGAGCTTTACATGTGCTGCATGACTTTTCAAATAAGGCCATAAGACGCCTCCCCCAGCCATACACACATACATACACACACGTACACGTGTATGAGTATTAAGTTTTGGTTACCGGATTAGAGACTGCTTACCCTGACTGTTTAAATGTTTTTAAGCAAGCTGAGATACATCTCTGGTTTCACCAAGTCACCAGAGTCAGTACTACTTCCTTCAGGATTTTGTTGAATTAATGGTATTCTTCATAGAAAAAGTAACCTTGGATTAGAAGCTGTGCATATTTAGGGGATTTAGTCTTTGTAACTATGTAATATTTTCAGTCTTGTCTGCTAAAAGGAAATGAATTAAAAAATATTAGGGCAACTCCATGGCTGATTCATGTCAATGTATGGCAAAAACCACTACAATATTGTAAAGTAATTAGCCTCCAACTAATAAAAACAAATGAAAAAAAATATTAGGACAGTAAGAACCAGCATTTTACTTTTTCCTCTACAGCAGTTGAAATACTCAGTATTAAATAAATGTCAGGTTACTCCAAAGTCTGAAAAGAAATATGCAAAATGGCGAAAGCAGTTTCTGTGACAGGGTGGTGGTGATTTTTTCCTTTTCAAAGTGTTTGTAATGTGCTTATATTTTATAATGGAAAAAAATAAATATATGTGTTAAATTTACATGAGCCTCCTATGATGAGGGTAAAAGTCCCAGTGGCTGTGGGCAGCTTTGCTATAGCCCGTAAAGAAAGTTAGCCCATTTAAAACTTAGATGTTTTTGTCGTTTTTACACATTCAGAGAAAATTAAGGTAGATGGGTAGAAAATCCATAAAAGCATCTTTCCTTCGGAGGAACCCAGGCCTGCTTCTCAGCTGTTAATAAACCACCTGCATGGCCGTCTGGCGCGTGCCAGGCACTGTGCCAGACCCTCCAGTGCCCGCAGGCAGACCGGCGGGGGGACAGGGAGGCGGCCGGCACCCACAGGCGATGTGGTCCTCACCTGCTCCCCCCACGCCTTGCTTCCCTGCAGTCCCGGCAGTGACCGCGTCTGCCCAGGGCTCGCCCCCATGCCAGGGGTCCCCTGTCCCGACCCTCCCCTCCCGGACAGCTCGCTGCATTCGAGATGCCCCCCACCCCCACCCTGCCTCACAGTCCCCTTTGGGTCACCTTCGTCCCCACTTGGGTCTGAAGCTGCCCGGTCCTTCCACCGACCGCCAGCCCTTTGGCATTGTAAGCTTCATGAATGACGGCAAGAATTTCCACTTAACCACGTCACTGAGTCTTGAAAACGGTACCTGGCCTATGGTAGGTGTTTATAAATAGGAGTTAACATCCCAGCCCTACAGGGAAGTAAGAACACCTCCATCTTGCAGAGGAGGAAAGTGAGGGTACCAGTTAAATAATGTACTAAAAATTGGCCACCATAAAGCGGCAGAGTTGAGACTGGGGGACTTCCCTGGGGGCCAGTGGGTAAGAATCCTCCTGTCAATGCAGAGGACGTGAGTTCAATCCCCGGTCTGGGGAGTTCCCACGCGCCGCGGAGAAACCAAGCCTGTGAGCCGCACCTGCTGCGCCTGCCCTCCGGAGCCCCCTCGCTGCAGCGCGAGAAAGCCTGCGGGCGGCCGCGGAGACCCGGCACGGCCAAAGACAGAAAAATATTTTTAAAAAGCTGAGACGGACACAAGCAGGTCTGTCCAGAGCCTTCACAGAAGTGCTGTCTCCCAGCCCCCAGCCCCTGAAAACCCAGGAGGAAACAGGTTGCCCTGCCAACCTTGGGTTCACACAGGCCCATGTCCCGGCGCTTCTGCGCGTCCACCCGGGCCCTCCAGCCTCACGGGGACGGACGGACGGACAGCTGTGGGGTGAGGGTGCTAGGGGAGACGGGGCTACAGCTCCCCACCAACAGAGCCCCTGAAACGGCGAGAGAGCCGGGAGCGGCTCGTGGGAAATCCCGTAGGTCAGGTCCGCAACGGGAGGGGACCGTGAGGGCGTCAAACCCGGGTCCCGTCCCAAAGCGTGAGTGGACTGTAAACCTTAAACTTTTGTTTGTTTGTTTTGGTTAAATGTATAATCTAAGCTTAGCAAAGTACGCCAGGTTGAGACCGTGAAGCTATCAGAGGCGACAAGCTGTCTCCCCCACCCCCCGTGGCAAGACCACCACGAGGACAGAGAGCAAAGAAAACTCCGCAGCACCCCAAGCCACCTTCAAGTAGTGTCTGAAGTCAGGAGCCCGGCTGTGTCATGAAGGCTTTTTAAAAAGGGAGGAATTCCTTGCCTGCGCCGGTCTTCTTGGTTTCATCAGCAGCAGTATTCCTCCTCTGCCAGAATCCTCCTAGTGAATGGGAGGCACTTTGAAGCCAGACTTGACCCCAGGCCCTTGGGAACGCGGCTGCGCGGGGGCGGTTCTGCTGCCCCCTGCTGCTCACGGGTGGTATAGCCTCCAGGTTCATTCCCACGGCTGCTGCCCTGGGCATTCCCTGCGAGACTCGGGGATTATCCGCGCCTAAAGCCTCCCTCTAGTACTGCAGAACTCTTGCCATCTCCTGTTTGACCACTTCCAATTTGCTTTGATTCATCGACCTATCATTCCAGGTTCCTATGCAACATTGCTCTTTACAACATCGGACCTTGCTTCTATCACCAGTCCCATCCACAACTGGGTATTGTTTTTGCTTTGGCTCCATCCTTCCATTCTTTCTGGAGTTATTTCTCCACTGATCTCCAGTAGCATATTGGGCACCTACCGACCTGGGGAGTTCCTCGTTCAGTATCCTATTGTAGTACTGAATTTTGCCGCGTACATCATGTGAAACCCTGGGCTGAAAGAAGCACAAGCTGGAATCAAGATTGCTGGGAGAAATATCAATAACCTCAGGTATGCAGATGACACCACCCTTACGGCAGAGAGTGAAGAGGAACTAAAAAGCCTCTTGATGAAAGTGAAAGAGGAGAGTGAAAAAGTTGGCTTAAAGCTTAACATTCAGAAAACTAAGATCATGGCATCTGGTCCCACCACCTCATGGGAAATAGATGGGGAGACAGTGGAAACAGTGTCAGACTTTATTTTTTGGGCTCCAAAATCAAGTGGATGGTGACTGCAGCCATGAAATTAAAAGACGCTTACTCCTTGGAAGGAAAGTTATGACCAACCTAGATAGCATATTAAAAAACAGAGACATTACTTTGCCAAAAAAGGTCCATCTGGTCAAGGCTATGGTTTTTCCAGTGGTCATGTATGGATGTGAGAGTTGGACTGTGAAGAAAGCTGAGCGCCGAAGAATTGATGCTTTGGAACTATGGTGTTGGAGAAGACTTTTGAGAGTCCCTTGGACGGCAAGGAGATCCAACCAGTCCATCCTAAAGGAGATCAGTCCTGGGTGTTCACTGGAAGGACTGATGCTGAAGCTGAAACTCCAGCACTTTGGCCACCTCATGCGAAGAGCTGACTCATTGGAAAAGACCCTGATGCTGGGAGGGATTGGGGGCAGGAGGCGAAGGGGACAACAGAGGATGAGATGGCTGGATGGCATCACCGACTCGATGGGCATGAGTTTGAGTAAACTCCAGGAGTTTGTGATGGACAGGGAGGCCTGGTGTGCTGCGGTTCACGGGGTCGCAAAGAGTCGGACATGACTGAGCGACTGAACGCCTCTCTGGCGACTCGGCGGTAATCTGCCTGCCAGTGCAGGAGACATGGGTCCGATCCCTGGGTCGGGAAGTTCCCCTGGAGGAGGGCATGGCAACCCGCCCCAGTATTCCTGCCTGGGAAATCCCGTGGACAGCGGAGTCTGGTGGGTTACAGTCCACGAGGGACTGAACAACAACAAAAGCAAACCACAGACTCCAACCAGTACGGCTCACCCCCCCAGACATCAGACTGCTTATGCTAAGACGGTGAGGTTATTTGGATTGAGTTGATGATCACATCAGCAGAAGGACGTGGTCATCTGAGGAGCTGACCAGACGTGGTACATGGTCTCCTGGAGGTGTATGGTCTCCTGGAGGCGTCTGGTCTCCCAGGACAAAGCCACTGCCCACTGCTGTTCCTCCATCATGTCCACACACGTGTGTTAACTTCTGATGAACTCACTGAAGACTGTGACATGAGTGTGATGGTCAACAGCCCTTATTTGACTCAAGACTCACCCACTTAGTGGCTGAATAATCTTATAGAAGTCACTTAACGGCTCTCAACCTGTTTCTTCCCTAAAATGGGGATCATCTTAACTATAGTTATTAGTTATTAATGTTCAGTGAGAATTTATAAAGCCCTCGCTATATGCCGAATGTTGAATTTTTTTTTTTTAAAGATTTTGCACATACAAAGAAGCTGATTCCAGTGCTGACCAAGGATATAACCTCATTTTTACTACTAGGAAGGTGTCTTTTCCTCATTGCATAAGCAACATTTACCTGTCAGCTAACTGAAAACCATCATCAGTAACTTATTTTCCCTTAGAATTGTGAGATTCTGTTTAAAAGGTGTGATTTCTTTTTTCCTCTTGTACTTAAAAAAAGAGCCTCATATACTATTAGATCTGGGAAGAACCTGGAGAGTCATCAGGCCAGCTTCCTGCCCACCTGGCCAGGTGGCCCATCCCATATTTGGATAGCTCAGCTAGTAGACAATCCTTTCTTGAACCCAAACCCAATTCCTTGTGGTCTGTATCCTAGTCCTGCCCTGCAGACCATCTTAGGAAAGAACCTGCCTTCTCTCCCTTATAGTAATCCTTTTTGTATATGTGAACATCTCTCCCCTGCCTTTGTCAGAAATCATCTTTTACCCAGGCTCAGATACAAAGTAATAATAACTACCTCCATCTAATTTTTTCCCAAAGGAAATAGTGCCTTTATCTTTGCCTGCTTGTGCGCCTGCTCAGTCGTGTCCGACTCTTTGCGACCCGGCGGACTGCAGCCCTCCAGGCTCCTCTGTCCATGGGATTCTCCAGGCAAGAATACTGGAGCAGGTTGCCATTTCCTTCTCCAGGGGATCTTCCCGACCCAGGGATGGAACCTGCATCTCTTGCTTCTCCTGCATTGGCAGGCGGATTCTTTACCACTGAGCCACCTGGGAAGCCTTTACTAAGATAATTGGAATTTGTCTGCTCACTTAAATCTTTACATGTTTTACTGGCTAATGTTAAAGGGTCCAAAGTGATGGAGATAAAGGATGAAAACAGCTGCCATTAGTTCTCCCGCTAAAAACGCATCACTTCAACGAGTTCTTGTCGTAGGCAGCGTTTGCCAGCTTCACAGCCTGTAAGATGGGGGTGGTGGCTGCAGTGGGGTCTGTTCAGGGTGCCGTCCCCAGAGCTGCTGAGTCGCACTGCGGGCCGGGGCCCAGGAAACCACATTCTAACGAGCACCACCGGTACTCCTTCCGCCGCACCGCCAAACCTTCCCCAGGAGCGTCTGGGTCCCGCCCCACGGTCCTGCTGGCCGCACTGCAGTGAGCCAGGCCGCCCCGCCCACCCCCGGGGAGCCCCCCAGCCGTGAGCGGCAGGCCGGCTCGGGCACCGCAGCGGTGGGCTCGGCCTGGACGGGGGCCCCTTGCCCTGCGCAGCCCCTTTGTGTGCTGGAGGCCCCAGAGGCTGGAGGAGGAGGTGGCTGGGCTGTAACTGACCTCCAGGAGGGCTTCCTCTGTCCCTGGGGCTCCTCTCAGCATTTCCACCGTTGACTTCGGCTGCTCGGGGCCCCAGCCCCGTCGGAGGAGGCTCCGACGTCAGTGGTTAGAGCTGAGGGGTGCGGATCCACGGAGGCGGTTTCCGGGGTCACCCAACTAATGAGAGGTGGGGCGGGGCGCTGACACAGGCGGCCTGACTCCAGGAGCCCCCACTGCTGGGCCACAGCCCTGGCTCTCTCTCCCTGACCTGGGGGCGTGAGACCAGCCCGCCAGAGCCCCGATGTCCTGCAGGTCACCCCCCTGCTCCCTGAGCCACCCCCTCCTTCGGGATGTCCTGTCTCAGTGGCACTGTCCCCTCCGCAGGAAGCTCCTTCGGATGGTCCCCGTCCACGTCAGCTCCTAAGGGTCCCGAAACCCAGCCGTCCTCTGACCCCTGAACCCTTGTCCCAAGCGGGTGGGCTGCCCGAGATCAGTGAGCAGGGGACAAACGTGGCGCCCACATGGTGGCCATGCCTGTGATGCCACCACTGGTCCACCCCATGCCCCCGCCGTGAGCTGCTGCCAGGATCCCCAGGAGGAGACAGCCTGACCCCCCACAGCCTGCAGGACCCAGACCCAAAGCTCTCCTGTCGACTGCCATGACCCTCGAACCTGAGTCTGCACTGGCCCGGCTCCCACCTGGCCCCCTGCCCCCAGGCCTTGCCCGCCTGACACCCTGCTGGTCCAGCACCCAGCCTGGGAGCATCCTTCAATTTTGACATCATTGGGACCTAAGAGTTGAGAAATTCTGCAAAGAAATTCCCTAAACCCCCGATCTTCACCCAGATCACTAATTGCTAATGTCCTGCCAGACGGACACGCGTGATCCACACACAGCCTCCCCTGACCACTCAGACCTCATGCCCTGAGAGCAGCAGTGTTCATCTGCGGGGAGTACACGCTCTAGGCGACCGAGTCGTGGTCGCCACCTGGCCAAGCACCTCCCCTGCGGGCTTGTCTTCCTGCTTGAGGGGCAAGTCCAGGTTTGCCCGGTCCAGCCACTCATCGTGGGGCCATAATTGCCTTGGATCTGGACGCTTCCTGGGCCTTTGGGGGACACTGGATCTGGATGCTTCCTGGGCTTTTGGAGGGGGACACAATCTGGATGCTTCCTGGGCCTTTGGGGGACATGGATCTAGATGCTTCCTGAGCCTTGGGGGGACACTGGCACTTCAAGGGAGTGCAGGCTGGAGGCTCTGTCCCATTTGGGGCTCATCCTGTGACTGGATTCGGGTCTGGAGCCACGAAGGCCCTGGGCCCCGTTCAGCCCAGAGGTCCCACTGTGTTCTTATGTGGACACGGCCTGCGTGGCAGCGGTGGGGTGATAGGGAGTGTTGGTCTCCTCAAAGGAAGCTTTCTTGGGACCCCCGCCCTCTGGGGGCAGGTCGGGGGGCAGTCCCCATCAAGTCCTGGGCACAGACACGATGGGACCCCGGTTGTCTGCCCACCGCAGGCTCTGGGGCCGGGCCTCCAGAAGAGCAGGGGCTTGATCAGTATTTGCTGAGTGAGTGAAAGAATGAGTGAGACTGTTCTGGAGCTGATCCCGCCCCAAAGCAAACCCTCCTCATGGCCCAGGCGTGCATGGGTGGCTTCCGCTTTATGCACGGAGCATGGCTATGCTTGCGGGGTTCTTGTTATGCCCGATTCTCACTGAGAGCTCAGAAGCCTCAGTCCCAGCAAAGGTTCCGTCCGGAATCCACAGAGTAGACTAATTCTAGAAGCTGAACCCGGATTCAGGATTTTTCCACTTGACTCCTTGTGGGAGGCGGAGTGGGAGGAAAGGGGTTTCTCCGGTCTTTGGTCGTGAGACCTGGACCCCAAAGAGGAGCCCTCGGAGGCGTCCCCCTGGCGGGGCGGGCCTCCCGCGCTGACTGTCTGGCTCTGTCGTTGCAGACGCAGGCGGAGGGAGACGCACTGAGGCCCCGAGGCCGCCGCACGGCGCTGCAGGAAGACCCGCTCCCCGGCCGCGCCGGTTCGCTCCGAGACGGGACCCTCGCCGGGCTCCGTGGAGCAGCCCCGCGGCGCTGGCCGTCTGCCGGGCTCGGAGGTGCCTGGACCGCCGCTGTGAGGGGTCCGGGTGGCCGGCTCCCCTCCGCCTCGGAGGACGGGCCTCGGTCCCGACGGTGAGGACTCGGGAGCGCGGGGACCCCCGCCCGGTGCCCCGTCCGCCTGCGCGTCCCCGTCACGAGGACTGTGCCCGGGAGTGTGGGCCGCAGACCCCCAGCCGCGCCTGGCGGCCCTTCGGGGGCTCAGCGCAGGGAGGGCTTGGGGCCGCCCGTGGTGCCTGTGGGAGCGGGGGCTTCCCCCGGCGAGGCTGCCACGCGCGGGCCTCACCACCTGCTCTGATTATGCCGAGGTGACTGACCTGAACCGCGCTGAATCGAACTGGGTGGAAATAAATTGAATTGAAAGGCTACCAACATGTCTACCTGTTTCACTGAGGGCCAAGTCCGGGGGTCAGGACCTTCCTTGTCTCCGCACCAGCCGGGCGGAAACCGCGCTGCTGCGGCAGGAGAGGAACAGGATCACCCCGGACGGGAGGGCACACCATGGACGGGAGGGGCCGGAGGAGACAGGGGGCGCCCCGGACAGGAGGGGACACCACGGACGGGAGGGGACGGAGCGGGAGCAGCACAGACTGCAATGAAGCAGGTCCGGCCAGCGGGGGACGCAGACGCATGCAGACAGGTTCGTGCGGACAAGAGCATCTCAGGCGTGGCCTGTGAACCCCACGTGTGGAATCACCTGGAAGGTCCCCCAGGCCGACTGCAGTCTCAGGGAGCCGGCCCAAGAATCTGCATTTTCAAACAACTTCTACAAGTGGATTCGAAGTTTGACTCACTGAGGGGAAGGGGTGGTGGGACTGTGGGGTGTCGGTAATTCCCCGGCTGACGGGGGCCTCCCCCTGGGGCTACTACCTGCACCCCAGGGACGCCGGGTGTTCGCCCTGCTGACCTTGCCCCGGGACCGCGGGTGTTTGCCCTGCTGACAGGCTTCCAGCGCCTGATGGCAGTGGGATGGTTGCGACACTTGGAGCACTCAGGTCTGACCAGGCATGCCTGCCTTCTCTCTACACCCATCCTGGATTCCAGGGCCAGAAGTGGGATGCCTCACACAATCAAGAAATGCCCAGCACGGCGGGCGCATGGGCCACACTGCCCATGGGTCGAGGCGTCGGCAGGCCAGTGCCTCCTGAGACCGCCCTCCTCGCCGGGGGCATCTTCACCCGGTCTGTGCACACACATTCCCGGTGTCTGGGGCCAGATTTCCTCTTCTTGTAAAAGACCAGGCAGATTGGATCAGGGCCGCCCTGTGCTGTGCGGAATCGCTCAGTCGTGTCCGACTCTTTTCGACGCCATGGGCTGTAGCCTACCAGGCTCCACTGTCCTTGGAATTCTCCAGGCCAGAATACTGGAGTGGGTTGCCATGCCCTCCTCCAGGGGATCTTCTCTACCCAGGGATCGAACCCAGGTCTCCCTCATTGCAGGCGGTTTCTTTATCATCTGAGCCCCTAGAATACTGAGTGGCTGAATTCCCAACCCAGGAACGGAACCAGGGTCTCCTGGATTGCAGGCAGATTCTTTACCAGCTGAGCTATCAGGGAAGTCCCAGGCTTCTTTTTAACCTAATCACCCTGTTAAAGACCCTGTCTCCATACATAGCCACACCTGAGGTGCTGGGGGTACTGATGAGGGCATAATTGAACATATAAATGGGGGGGGCTCCCACAGTTCAGCTCACAACAGGCAGTGTTTCCTTTGCTGTAATCTTGAGCAAGCACGTGGAGAAGCACTTTGATCATCTAAGTGCTGTCTCTCAAGTTTACGCTGCCCTTCTGTCCCTTTCGTCCAGTTCATTTTATCTTTAGATAAACATGTAACACGTGCAGCCTCCAAACTGTGGACATTTTTAGGATTCTCAGCGGCTTCTTGCTGCGCCTCTATCTCTTGTATCAACACAAAATTGAACTGCGGCCCAGAACTTCCCAGCGACAGTGTGTGACCCAGCAGCGTTGCAGTGTGACCCAGCAACCCTGGGACACGTTAGTGACCCAGGCCCGTCATCAGCCAACACTCCTCACACACGCGCCAAGCATCCAAATTTCCCGCCTCCCGTGGTCAGTACCTTGTGGACCATCGAGGAGCCCAGGTCCCTCCCGGCTCCCGTAAGGACCACTGCTGGGGTGGCTGTCAAGAGGGACAGGCGTCACAGCAACATCTCCAACTGCGACGCCACCTGCCTGACCCAGGGTCCCCACTGCCTTCCAGAAAACAACAGATTCTGGGGACTCCCCTGGTGGTCCAGTGGCTGAGACGCCGCACTCCCAACGCGGGGGACCCGGGTTCAATCCCTGGTCGGGGAGATGGATCCCACATGCTGCGTCCAAGACACAGTGCAGCCAAATGAGTACTTTTTTCTTTTCTTTTTAAAAGAGGCTTCCCTGGCGGCACAGTAGTTAAGAATCTGCCTGCCAATGCAGGGGACCTGAGTTGAGTCCCTGGTCTGGGAAGATCCCACATGCCTCAGGGCAGGTAAGTCCATGGTCCACAACTACTGAAGCCCATGGGCTCTAGAGCCCCCGCTCCATCGCAATGCGAAGCCCGCACATCCACACCCAGAGGGTATTCCCCAAGTACCGCATCTAGAGAAAGTCCACCCGCAGCAGCAAAAACCCAGCACAGCCAAAATAAAGAAACCACACTACTACGGAGTTCTAAACCTACTTTAAAAAATATTCTGAAGTGAATAGACGATGATTTTGCACAGTAGGTAAAAGCACTTAGCTCAGTCATGTCAGGGAGACTATAATCAGAAATAAAACAGGCTTTTCTATCTCAGCTCCTTGGGATGACGGCTAGCATTGTCCCAGGCCCAGGCGCCTCTGAAAGGGCCTCCCTGTCCCCACACATCCTTGGAACAGAAGCTGAAGGTCTTCCTCGGTCAAGGCCTCAGTTCTCCAGGAGACGCGGGGACTATTGTTTGAAGCAGCTTCTATGTATGTGAAACTCCACACCCACCTGCTGTCCTGGGAGACGGATATTTTATATGCACTTTGGAGATTAAAGACGCGAAGTCCAGAGGCGCGGAATCTCAGGCTACGGTAAGGGTGGGAGTTGAACTCCAGGCTGCCAGGCCCCGTGTCACCAGCAGGGTACCTGCGGCTGGACGGGCCCAGCCTTCCACACGGCGGGGAACTCCAGGGAGTGCTCACACCTTCAGCACAAGCACAGCCCCACCCCAGAGACTGTAACTGCCTGGGGTCCTCACCGGGCTTCTCTTGTGGCTCAGCTGGCAAAGAATCCGCCTGCAATGTGGGAGACCTGGGTTCAATCCCTAGGTTGGGAAGATCCTCTGGAGAAGGGAAAGTCTCCCCACTCCAGTATTCTGGCCTGGAGAATGCCATGGACTGTATAGTCCATGGGGTCACAAAGAGTCGGACACGACTGAGCGACTTCCACGTAGAATAAGTCTGGAAGCACTCTCTCCCTTCCCTTTCCCCTCAGTGGACCTGAGCAGACCTGAGCGGTCCCCAGGTGACTGAAACGGAGCCCGGCCAGGGGCAGCACCTGGGAAGGGCAGAGCCACAGCCTGCCCTCACCCCGAGCGCAGGTGGAGCCGTTCACCGACGCTGCGCGCGTCCACCTGGCCTGGGCAGAAACCCCAGTGCCGGTGCCGACCGGCTGGAGGGACGAGGCCCAGAGCTGTGTCCTGGACCACACAGCCCACAGGGTCACCCCCGGGGGCTTGGCCTCCGCCTGTGAAAACACACGCTGAGCGGCCGCAACCTGTGGACACGGGGCTAGGTTCTGGAGGGGACACAGCACTGAGTGCCCGCCCCACCGTGTCCTCCAGCCCAGGAGGCATGGCTCAGCTAAAATTAAAAAAAAAAAAAAAGCGGGGCAGGGGAGGCCAGATATATTCCACTAAATGATCAGAAGGTGGTTCAGCTGATGCTGGGAAAGACGAGGGCAGGAGGAGAAGGGGGCGACAGAGGATGAGATGGTTGGATGGCATCACCGACTCAATGGACAGGAGTTTGAGCAAGCTCCAGGAGACAGTGAAGGACAGGGAAGCCTGGGGTGCTGCAGTCCACGGGGTCGCAGAGAGTCAGACGCGACTTAGGGACTGAACAACAATGTAGAGAACCCGCCTGCTAATGCAGGACACTCGAGTTCGATCCCTGGGTCAGGAAGATCCCCTGGAGGAGGACATGGCAACCCTCTCCGGTATTCTTGCCTGGAGAATCCCACGGACAGAGGAGCCTGGGGCGGGCTACAGTCCATGCAGTCACAGAGAGTCAGACATGACCGAGCAGGCGCACACACGTGTTAAGAGCCAAGCAAGAGCCCAGCTGGGGGTGCTGGGCAGGGAGGGCCCGGGGCAGCCCCCTGGGCTGTGTGTGCCCAAGTGACCATGGGCACGGGGGAGGAGGAGACAGGTGTTGGCCACTGAGAGCCAGCTGACCGTGAGCCCTGCCTGAAACGCACACACGGGGTAGAGAGGGTTTCCGGCCGCTACCGGCCGCTGTGCAGACAGAGGGCATGTGGGTTCTCTGCTTGGAACCCCCCCCTCTTTTCTATCTCGGTCCCCACCCCCGGCCTCAACGATCTCATTCACCCCCAGAGCTTCCCTCCCCCAGGGCTCAACTGCAGCCACAGGGCTTACGGTCCCCTGAGCTGCAGACACCCCACCAGACGCCCGCAAACTTCCCTCCGCCTGGGGACAGCCACCCCGCCCCGCCCTCCTCTGAGTGACCTTCCCAGTCACTTCTGGGTACCCGGAGAAGCAGCAGCTGGGGGGTGAGCCGGGAGCAGAGTCAGAGAAGGTGACTCTGAAGCCGTGCTGGGGCCTGGACGCTGAGCCGCCTGCTGTGGGAGCTGGCCCACGCCGGGTTCTGTCCCTTGGCCCACGGGCTCCTCGAGCAAGAGGACCCACAGCCTCTGGGCCCAGCGGCCAGCTTCTGGCGGCCCCCCCCCGTGAGAGACCCCCCCACCCCCCATCCTGCGCCTTTCTGCACCCGGGACCCCTCCCCATCCGCTCACCTGGGCCTGAACGACTTCACGACTTCAGCCCTTTCCTCCTAGGGCCTCCGGCTCTGCTCTGCCCTGCACTCCGCCGCGGGATGTTTCCAGAACCAGCTCTGCTCCAACAACCGCCTTCTTTGACCCCACCTGCCGCCAGGGCCGCGTTCTGGACCCTCAACACTAATCCCGGCCAACGTGCTCCTCTCGTGGCCCCTCCGAGGGCCATTGGCCACGGCCTTCTCCCCTCACCTCCCGGGCGCCCGCTGGTGGTCGCCAAGTTCATCACGTGCCTCCCGGGCCCGCCCCCTCCAGGTGATGCTCGTTCAAGCTCCCAGCCTCTTTGAGATCATTGTGGAATCCTTGTGAAACTCCCCTCCAAGAAGCCAGTCTCCACGCTTTCCTTGCTCCCCCAGTTAAACAAACACTTACACACACTCACACACGCGCGCACACACACACACACACTGCAGCTGGGGTGACTAGGTGGAGCACTGGATACTGGGGGGAGGTGTGCTGCTGGATGCGTGGACGTCTGTCCAGCCCTCGGCCATCAGAGACGGAGCCCTCGTGTAAACCACGGTCTGGGTGACAGGCACGAGCAGGGTCCCTCCCGCGGTGGAGG